TTATAATGTCAAAATTTAAAATGTACCATAAAATGATTAGTTAACAGTTCAAAACAAAGGGAAAAATATTTTGAGAAATAATATTAATCTACATTTAATGAATCTAGACTTGGTTTTCAAATTGTATTCATAATATAATTATTTGTAACTAATCTCCTTTTATTTTTAAAAATTAATCTCTTTTTATTTTTTGAAAAATATATTAATGAAATCATCTATTAAATAATATTAACCTATCTTGCATGTATACAGACTTGGTTTCAAATTGTATTTGTAGTATAATTATTTAGTAACTAATCTCTTTTTATTTTTAAAAAATATATACAAATAGAATAATCTGAAAAATAATATGAATATACGTTTAATTTATCCATATTTAGTTTCGTATTGTATTCGCAGTATAATTATTTGGTAACAAATATATTTTTTTGTTATTGGTAACTAATCAATTTTTATTTTTAGAAGATATATCAAATAGAATCATCAGAAAAATATTATAAACTTATGTTTAATGTATCTAGAATTATTTTTGAATTTACTTATTTAATTATTTGGTAAATAATCTCATCATTTTGGTAAGTAGTCTCTTTTTATTTATGGAAAATATACCAATCATCTATGAAATAATATTAACATACTTGTAATGTAGGTAGACTTGATTTCGTAATGTATTCGCAGTATAATTATTTAAAAAATATATTTTTTTGTTATTGGTAACTAATCTATTTTTATTTTTGGAAAATGTATGAAATAGAATCATCAGAAAAATATTATCAACTTATGTTTAATGTATCCAGATTTACTTTGAATTGTAATCGAATAATTATTTGGTAAATAATCTCATCATTTTGGTAAGTAGTCTTTTTTTTTTTAATGTAAAATATACCAATCATCTATGAAATAATATTAACATACTTGTAATATAGGTAGACTTGATTTCGTATTGTATTCGCAGTATAATTATTTGGTAACAAATATATATTTTTTTGTTATTGGTAACTAATTTATTTTTATTTTTTGAAAATATATCAAATAAAATAATTAGAAAAATATTATCAACTTATATTTAATATATCCAGATTTAGTTTTGAATTGTACTCGTATATTATTTAGTAAATAATTTCATCATTTTGGTAAGTAGTCTCTTTCTATTTATGAAAAATATACCAACCATCTAAGAAAAAATATTAACATACTTGTAATGTATGTAGACTTGGTTTCGAATTGTATTCGTAATAGTTATTCGGTAACAATATTTTTTTTTTGTAACTAATATATTTTAATTTTTGGAAAACATATCGAACAGAATCATCTGAAAAATAATATTAACCTACGTTTAATGTATGCAGACTTAGTTTCGAACTGTATTCTTAATATAATTATTAATTTGATAATTAATGTTTTCTTATGTTATATATTTGTCAATAATTACCAAAGATGTATTTATTTTTCCGAAATTAACTATTGGTTAATTACTTAATTCAATTTAACAATTTTACGTATAAATTTTTAACTGTTTAATGAAGGAGAATTTTGGTGATGACACGTGGCACAATTGGCTAAACTTGCTCACGGGGCGACACGTGTCGATTAAAAACTCTGCTTTAATATATAAACCAGTGTTTACCTCACACGTTGTACGGGTTGTTCAAGATGTATATGAGTTTAACGATTTAAAAATTATATAACATTTATGACAGAGTGATATATGTAAAAAAAATAATATTAATGATGTAAAATACAACTGTGTAATTTTTAATGTCAATTTGTTTTTTTTTTTTAATTAGATGCCCCAGGGTAATAATCCTCCCTCATCCTAATCCTCTAACTAACCCGCCCATCCCTCCCACCCCATGTTTTGTTATTTTAGATATATAAGGAATAATTTTCAATATTCGAAATCATCCAATCTAACTTATTGTCCATCTTTTTCGTTTTGTTGATTTGTGGGTTTATATATTTTAAAAGTATTCTTTTAATTCTTTTCATATGATCTCCCTAAATATTTTTACCCCTGTTATATCTTTTAAACTCTTCCTCTAACAGGAAATTTTATACCCGTGTCAATGTAACTTGGATGTAATTACAACCGACACACATCTTTTACTTCATGACAATTTCTCTCATTTAATTTAGTCTCATCAATAAATTAATAGTTTTAAATTAAAAAAATTACCTTTAACTGATGGAGTGATATGGTTGGAATATATGGACTTGACTATTTAATTTATTGTCATTTGCAGTACCATATATAACCTTATGTCACGTGTTCGATTGAAATCTATTTTAATATATATATATATATATATATCATAATTTTTCATAATAATTGCTCTAAACATTTCTACCCATGTCATTTCTTTTGAAACCTTTCTTTAGAAATTTGTTCGTATATTTTTCCTTTAATATAGTGTTTATTTAATTTTTTTTTCTTCCTTTGCATAGTCTTCATCTTTTTTTCCCACTAAATTTGATGGCATTTTTTTAAAGCTTCAATTCTTAAAAATTTGTAATAATTATTTTATTTTTCACTATTATCTCAATTTTTTTCATTTTTTCTTATTCTCTATATAAATTTCCTCCATATAATTTTAATCAAGGTTGTACCTTCATCGGTTAGGCTAATCAACGTAAACGGATTGCATGTATTTATAATAGAAAATTTTGGACGATTAGGGTTTACGCATTATTATATAATTATATTACATATTGATATAATATAATATATCATAATATCATTAACAGTTTGGCCGATTAATATATAATTATATCATTAGTATTATAAATATATATATATATATTTTTATAATTGTTATACAACGTGATCAACAATAATCATTTATTAGCATTGTCTGTTATTAGCCGTTAGTATCAACAACAAAAAATAGATTACCCGTTATAGTTTTGAGAAATCTCTTAGTTAACTTAGTTTTATTTGTAGACTAATAGAGCGGAATTATTCAGAATCTTTTTTAGAGGATAAATATTTCCAATTTACTACAATAACAATTGTTAAACAATTATGAACAATCAAAACCTTACAATGCTAATCTATTATAAGAAATTAAAAAATAATGTTTATACTGCCACGAAAGCTAAATGTTGAATAGGGATTTCATGCGTAAAATATTATGCATCATAATTTTGCGGAACAAAAAAAAATTACAATAATTATAATGGTGTCCAGTTATGATGGGCATATGTTATTAAGGATGCAGGGATAATAAGTTGGAAAAATTCTTCTCAGATTTTTATTATATTGACAATAATAAAATATACAAGTTTACAATTAGATTGGAATTTTATTGATGGAGTGATTGAATTTGATTTCATTAGCCGAGATAATTAGTAAATATAATTGGCTAATCAACGTAATGTATTTATAGGGGAAGTTATTTTACCTTTTTTTTTTTCCTTTTGTAATTGTTATACAATGTAATTTAATAAATTTACGATTTTACATTAAAAAATTACCATTAAATGATGGAGTGCTGTAATTACGACATGTGGACTTGGCTATCTAATTTTTCGCCATATGGATTAGCCTATCTTATTTTGTGACACGTGTCCGATTGAAAACTCTCCTTTAATATATATAGAGATATAGATTAATTTTTTTGGATGCTACAAGTTTATTATTTGAGTTTTAAGAGTTCGGCTCGAGATTATCAATATTGTAAGCTTTAAACCTCGTTTAGGAATTAGAACGTGATTGGATTGTGTTAATTTAATGTGCTTAAACTTTTCCTCTTTCTTTGCTAGTCTATTTGTAAAAAAGTAAAAATAAAAATGTGTCAATACTTTTCTCAATATCAGAGTATTTTTAGGATTTATCTATATTTTTTGGGCCTCAAAATATGAGTAATTAGAAACAGAGAAACAACAATCAAATGGTAACTTATGTAAGTAAGAATGCAGATCCAACATACTTGTACCTTCAATTGTGAAATACACATTTCGGAAAGAGATCTCGAATCGAATTAAGCAAAATTATTTAAAGAGATATTGGTCATGTGCTGATAAGATTAGTATTTATTTTTGCAATTTATCTATAACATAACATTATTATGATGGTCCACAATAATAAATAAGATCTTCTTTTAAATAAAAAGAGTCTCATCAATCACTAAATGCCACGACATCATTACCATTGTATACAAATCAATAATATATCAACTCAAAAACCGGGTATTGTGTTTTTTCTTTTTCGTCGTGTGTAGTGCTAGGGAGGAAGAAGAGTACGTAAAGGGATTTGACTTTACAATCACAAAGAAAAAGTAGAATGTTTACCCAAAAAAAAAGAAAAAAGAAAAAGTAGAATGTCCTTATTTAAAAAATGAACACGTACTATCTAATTAGTTAATATGAGCATCATTCCATGAATATAAACACTATAATTAATTGATCATATTAATACCATTTGTTGTTTCCATTAACAACACAAATTGAACACCGTATATTGGGCAAAAATAGCTACGTCTCAAAGTTTAATCATTCGAAAACAATGCTGATACGTGAACACAGGAAGTCAGTACGTATATTACCTAAAAAAGCACACAAAAACTCCAAACAAACACGCATTTATCATTCATCATCTAGAACGCAGAATTCCGTAATCAAGAAATGTCACCCGGAAAAGTTCCAAACAAACACGCCACAGTGCCCACAGTTTTCTTAGCTCACCGTACAATAACTGTCTGATTCCATTCTGCCCATATCACTAACAAGACAGAACGAATTACTCCCTTCTCCGACCCCATATTAACAGTTTCTTTTTTTTTTAATAGTATCGTAGTCCCAAAATCATTGTTCAATTTGAAATTTTACTTTTAGTACGATTTGAATTATAAATAAAATTTAAATTAGACAATAATTTCGAGACGGAAAAAATATATTTTAGTTGAATAAAATATATTAAGAATTAATAAATTGGGACGGAGGAACTGATGAGTATATATATATATACATAAAGTACCAAAGGGAATTCGACACATTTAGATATCAAAAAGAAGATGGAGTTTACATTCAATCTCATTTCTTTCTTTCTTTTGCTATCAATCATTTTTGCCTCAGTAATGATGGAGTACTGGCTAAGGACCGAAACCAAACACAAAAACAGCAAAAAGAAGAAGCAACTTCCAACGCCATGGAAGCTCCCCATATTGGGCCACATGCATCATTTATTAGACTCCCCGCCTCAACAGGCGTTAGCTAAACTAGCTCGGAAACATGGCCCTATAATGCACGTCAAGCTCGGCGAGATCTCAGCCATTGTCGTTTCATCTCCTCGCCTGGCCAAAGAGGTTCTCAGAACGCATGATCTCGCGTTCTCGAATCGGGCCGAGCTACTAGCGACCAAGATCGTTTGTTACGACGGGGCGGACATCGCGAGCTCCTCTTACGGCCAGTTTTGGAGACAGATGCGTAAAATCTGCACTTCCGAGCTCCTCGGAGCCGAGAAGGTCAGGTCGTTTCGGCCCATCCGGCTCGACGAGGCCTCCAATCTTGTTTCATCGGTCCGTGAGGTCGCGGGAACCGGGGTTCCAGTGAACCTAACCGCGGTCTTAGGGACCTATTCGAGTTCTATGGTTTTCCGAGCCGCGTTTGGGAAAGCGAGCCGGCATCATAAAGACACGTTCTTACAAGTACTTAAAGAGGCATTGCCTCTCGTGACATCCTTTGATATCTCTGATCTGTTTCCGTCTTACAAATTTCTGCATTCATTCAGTTGGATGAGGAAGCAGTTTGTGGACGTGCACGAGAAAATCGATAAGATCTTCGACAGCATCATTCTCGAGCACGTCGAGAATAGAGCCGCCACGCGGAAGGGAATGGCGGAATCTAGCGAAGAAGATTTAGTTGATGTTCTCCTCAGGCTCAAAGAAAGTGGGAGCCTTCGAATTCCCATAAATAATGACCATGTGAAAGCTGTTTTGATAGTAAGTTGTTTCTTTTACTTAAGTTTAAGTACTGAATAGGTTTATCAGATAAACCGAACTTAGGATTTATCACGTGTAATGTTACTCATTATTTTGAATCCATACAGGATATGTTCTCAGCGGGAACTGAAACTTCATCCTCGATTGTGGAATGGGCCATTTCCGAGATGATTAGAAATCCAACTGTGATGGCAAGGGCACGTGACGAAATAAGGAGAGAATTTAATGGAAAACAAATCATAGATGAGGAGGATGCTCATAAATTGAGATATTTAAAACTAGTAATTAAAGAAACTTTAAGATTACATCCTCCAGGACCACTTTTGGTGCCTAGAGAATGTAGAGAGGAGTGCGAAGTAGATGGATATACCATCCCAGTTAAAACAAGAGTCCTGGTTAATGCTTGGGCGATCGGGAGAGATCCCGAATATTGGGAAAATCCAGAATGTTTCGATCCAGACAGATTCGAAAATAGTTCCATTGATTTTAATGGAACTCATTTTGAGTACATACCATTCGGTGCAGGAAGAAGAATGTGCCCCGGAATTTCATTTGGTGTGGCTAACATTGAGCTTCCTTTAGCTCTTTTGCTCTACCATTTCGACTGGGAGATGCCTAATGGTCTCAAGCCGGATGATTTGGACATGAGTGAGACCACTGGATTAGCTGCATCAAGAAAAACCCATCTATGCTTGATGGCCACCTCTTATGATCCCTCTACTTGATTTGGAAAGAAGTACTTCCATAACTGATTTAAGGTTTAAGGCATTATACATATATATATATATATTTTTGGCCTTGATGTTTTAAGAGCTTTTTCGTTGGATTTTCAAGTGTTATGCTTGATTAGTGAATGATGTTTTTTAGAACTTTTTTATTGTTTGTTATAATACTTGATCTCTTTTCCTTTTTTCTTGGATGGAAGTATTACTACTCTTTAGACTTTTGTTACATTGTATGTTAAGCAGGCAAAGCAGCTGCTACCTCGTTTCGGATTCTATAAATCTTTGTTCATTGTGTAACTAATTTCACTATAATTTTTGTTATTCTTACTGGTACATAATGTGATTTCCCCATTCTATAAATTATACGTGGACACACCTATCGTAACTTAACGGATTTTCCTACTTAAATGTATTGGCCGTTCGAAGGTTCCAAGTTAAAAAGATCAACTTTATTCTAACCTAATTAGGATGTTGGCCTAACTTTCTAAATAGAAAAATGTTACGTGGTTTTCACACTAAAATTTAATGTGCTGGGCTAAAATAAAATTTTGGTACCATTAGATTTGCTACGGGAAGGCCTAATTAATCTCGAACTCTAAAAATAATTTGAAAGTTTCTACGGGATATCTGACAAATAGTGCCCAGGATAATCCACCAATTTTAGTTACGTGGGATTTCAGTGCTTGTGTGATTCTTACAAATTGTTGATGGAACACGATGATAATTTGATATTTTATATTTTATCTCTTTTTATTGTATTAGAAAAAAGAAGGAATTAATATTTCAATAAAGGACAATTTCTTATTAGCTTCTAGAATACTAATATGGAGCCAGATGGCTCAGTTGGTTCTCTTTACATCCCAAAAAAAAAAAAAATTCAAATTATAGTTTGTGAATTATAATACAATGTGAGCTCTTTCTTCCCGTGAGACGGAGAAAATAATTTAAAAATTGGATATGATTTTTTTTTTGTTTTTTTGGACGCGGATAGTATTTTCTTGGCCGACTTCTAAATTACTGTATTTAGGATTTTGTACCTGATTTCGAGTCTCTATCCAATATACTCGGGGGCACCATACTCCCCTTCCTATTTTTTACACTACTAGTCTTTATTACACTTTTTTCCACTTTGCTAAATAACATCTTATAATTTACAGGTTTAGTCCCTTTGATTTTTTTTCCTCTCTCCTTTAAAAAACATCACTAATCTTTAAACGACCATATCTCTCAATCCGTGAAGAATTAGAAAACGTGTTATACACGAATTTTATTGTATTCGTCAAGATCTATCCAACAAGATCTATGTCGAATATTTTTTTTCCGAGTTTAAAAATGACTAAATTTCGATGGGCAGAATAAGATAGATATCTAGTTTAGAAAGATAGATAACCCAATTCATTTTAAATTGGTTATCCATTGTGTTTATGCTGATTATCCAACCATTTTGAATTGGTTATCCAACTTGTTTGTACTGGATATCCACCCATTTGCTTTGTATGCCTATCAAACTTGTTTATACTGGATATCCATTTCGTTTGTACTAGATATCTAACTCGCTTGTACTGGATATCCATCCATTTGATTTATATGCTTATCCAACTGGTTTTGTAGTTGTAATCCAACGGGATTGTATGCATATCCAACTTGTTTGTGCTGAATATCCAACTCGCTTGTACTAGATATCCAACTTGTTTGTACTGGATATCCATCCATTTGGTTTGTATGCCTATCCAATTTGTTTGTACTGGATATCCATCCATTTGGTTTGTATGCCTATCTAACTTGTTTGCACGCACTGGATATTTATCCAACTTGTTTGTAGTGAATATCCATCCATTTGGTTTGTATGCCTATCCAACTTGTTTGTAATGGATATCCCACTTGTTTGTACTGGATATCCATTTGGTTTGTACTGGATATCCAACTCGTTTGTACTGGATATCCATCCATTTGGTTTTTCTTTTTATTATTATTTTTTTGAAAAAAAAGAAATGGTTGTCCAACGCGTTTGTATTGATTATCCAACTGTTCTGTATAGATTCTCCGACCATTTTTTTTCTCTACTCTTTGCGAAAATCCTTGTCCAGTTTTTTTGTACTGACTATCCAAACGTTTTGCATGCCTTATCCAATCGTTTTCACTGATTATCCAAACATAATTTCTCTTCTTTTTTTTTCTTCTTTTGAGAAAAAATTTGTCCAATGTGTTCATACTGATTATCTATCCGACTTCTCGGTGATGGATGATTATCTGACTTTTTTTTTTCCTTGCTCTTTTAATGAAAATGATTGTCCAATTTTTTTGTACTGGTTATCTAACCAGCTTGTACTACTCATCTAATTATTTTTAATGATTATCCAAATTGTTTGTAATGCTTATCCAAATATTTTATTTTTTATTCTTTTATTCTTTTTTTTTGAAGATGAGTGAATGTAAAAAAAATGACTGGATAACAAGTACAAACAAAATGAATAATCAGTCCAAACCGGTTGGATAGATCTCGTCGAACATTATAAATTTCATATATAATTCGTGTTCTAATTCTTTACGGATCAAGAAATATATATAATACAAGAATATCAATTTAAGCTAAGTAGGTTATCCATCTTCTTTTTTCTTTTTTTCTTTTTTGAAAAGTGAATGTAAAAAATATGATTGTATAAAACAAAATAGGTAATTAGTCCAAACCGGTTGGATAATCAGTATGAACACAACGGATAATCATTTTTCAATTTATTCATTTATGCCCGTAAGATTTAAATGCATTTAGAGTTCAAAAGAAATATTCAACATTGATCTTATCGGATAGATCTCGTTGAGCACTATAAATTTCATATATAATTCGTGTTATAATTCTTTACTGATCAAAAGATATAACGAATACAACAATATGAAGGTAAAATAAGTTGGTTATCCATCTTCTTTAATTGGATATCCAATGTGTTCATATTGATTATCCAACTTCTTTGTGGTGGTTATCCAGTATTTTTTTCCTTTCTCTTTTATGAAAATGATTGTTAAATTTTTTGTACTGATTATCCAACGTGTTGCACTGATTATCCAATTATTTTCTATTGATTATCTAAATTGTTTGCAATGCTTATCCAATCATTTTTTCTTTCTTTTTTTTTTTTTTTGAAGAGTGAATGTCAAAAATATGATTAGATAACAAGTACAAACAGAATGGATAATCAGTCCAAACCGATTGGATAATCAGTATGAACACAATGGATAACCATTTTTCAAAGAAAAACGGAAAACACATTTTTTCATTTCTGTCTGTAAAATTTAAATGCATTTAAAGTTCAAAAAAAATATTCAACATGGATCTTATCGGATAAATTTCGTCGAACACTTCATGTATAATTCGTATTCTAATTCTTTACGGATCAAGAGATATATGCAATACAAGAATCTTAATCTAAACTAAACTAGTTATCCATCTTTCTAAACTAGATATCCATCTTATTCTGCACATCGAAATTTAGTCATTTTTAAACTCGGAAAAAATATTCGACATGGATCTTGTTGGATAGATCTCGACGAGTACAATAAAATTAATGTGTAACACGTTTTCTAATTTTTCACGGATTGAGAGATATGGTCGTTTGAATATTAGAGATGTTTTTTAGAAGAGAGAGAAAAAAGTAACAAGGACTAAACTTACAAATAATAAGAAGATTATTAGAAAAAGTAAAAAAAAGTACAATAAACACTAATAATGCGAAAAAAGGAGAGGGAATATGGTGCCCCGGGTGCACCCAATAAATTGCCCCTGACGAGGGTGGTTTCTTCTTTTTCTTCTTCTTTTTATTTTTTTTTCCGGATAAGTACTTAATTATATTTAACAGCAAGAGATCTGATGCCGACAAGTATGGTTGCAACTGTTGCAAGAACCGGTTGCATGTGAAGGATTGTAATAATGGGTGAATGAGTGGATACATCCCAACATTTACACCAATGCGCTAATTCATCCCAACGTTTTAAAATTGATCAATTACATCCCAAGGTTATCAAAATTGAGCATATCCATCCCATGACCTGCAAAACAACAAAAATGACCTGATATAACAGGTAAAAATCTATTGGATTTAATATTTATTCTTTTTTTTTTCTCTTTTTTATTTATTTTATTATTATTTTAAAGTTCATTAAAAAACAAACAAAATATCTAAATTAAAAAAAACTCAAAAAAACTTACTTAATTAATCAAAATAATTTATGCATCACAAATGACATAATTTATAATTTTAGACAAACTCAAAATTAATTAATTTTTGAATACAATATATATATATATGTGTGTGTTTGTGTGTGTAAGCATAATTATTCTATTTTTCACTCAAAATAAATAATTTTTTTTGGAAAATTTCTTTAAGTTTTATCGAAAAATTAAGATGAATTTGATTATAAAATAATTAGATTCATTACAAATAAATTAATGTTTTTAGTTTCTCCATTTATAAATATTGTTTTGTTTCAATAAACTAAAAGAAATTAAAAAATTCAAATAAACAGAAGAAAAACATATTAAATATGGGATCCAAATGATTTTACCTGTTATACCATGTCACTTTTGTTGGTTTGCAGGTCATGGGATGGATCTGCTCAATTTTAATAATCTTGGGACATAATTAACCAATTCTAAAACTTTGGGATGAATTCGCTAGCAGGGTATAAACGTTGGGATGTATACACTAATATTCCCTTGTAGGAATCTAGTATTCTAGTTTACTGTTTGGAACTTCTAAATGTAAGCTTACATTCCCTTGTCTAATCACGCCGAATTTATTGAGAAAGAAGAAAATCTTTTTCATCTCATCTCATGATTAAATCATTATTTATAATTTCTTTGGTAGCAAAATACAAGTCTAAGTTTGAATTCCCAAATCGACTCTCGGATATAATTTATTTATTACTCTTTCCGTCCCATAATTATTGTCCAGTTTGAGTTTTTATTTCTAGTTCAAATTGTACTAAAAGTGGAATCTCAAACAGGACAATAATTTTGGGACAGAGGGAGTATATTCTTTTTTTTTAAAAAAAATAAACGTTGTACTCCTCAACAAATGGATTATTTTTCTTAGGACAGAGATAGCAGTAGTAAATAGTTTTTGTTCGGAAAAACATTTAATTCCCAGCTACTTCGCTGGTTGGAGGGTTTGCATGCCAGAATAGAAACAGTTGCCAATTTTGGACTGAATGTTGCAGTGCG